TGGGAACATGATCGATGTTTAAATCTTTCTTCTCGACGTGGTCTCGTATGAAGTGATGTCGGACGTCGATATGTTTGGTTCGCGAGTGAAGTACTGGATTTTGGGTTATTGCAATCGCGCTAGTATTATCACATGAAATACTAACATTTTCGCATTTAATCCATAGTCCAACAATTGTTGCTTCATCCATAAAATTTGTGCACAACAACTCCTAGCTGCAATATATTCGGCTTTGACAGTGCTCGTAGCTATGGAGTTTTGCTTCTTGCTGAACCAAGAGACCAATCTCCCCCCTAAGAACTGTCATGCCCCTAAGGTACTTTTTCGGTCTATTTTACACCCTGTAAAATCTGCATCTGAATAACCAGTTAGTGTAAAATCTCCTTCTTTGGGATACCATAATTCCACGTTGATTGTTCCCTTTAAATATTGAATTATCTTCTTGGTTGCAATCAGATGACTCTCTTTTGGCTTCGATTGAAATCTCACGCATACTCCAAGTGAGTAGGATATGTCCAGTCTACTCGCGGTTAGATATAGCAATGATCCAATCATTCCTCGATACATTGTTTGATCAACGTCTTTGCCTTCGTCATCTTTGTCCAATTTTTGAGAAGTACTCATGGGAATTTTGACTGAGGATTTTCCATCTAGCCCAAATTTCTTTAGAAGATCTTTTGTATATTTGGCTTGATTCACGAAAATTCCTTCTTTGAGCTGTTTGACTTGTAGTCCCAAAAAGTAGTTCAATTCTCCCATCATGCTCATTTCGAATCTGTTCTGCATAAGCTTAGAGAATTTCTCACACAAAGATATATCAGTGCTTCCAAAAATAATATCATTAACATAAATTTCCACTAATAAAATGTGACCATTTTCTTGAATTCTAAAGAGGGTTTTATCAACTAGGCCCTTGGTGAATCCACAACCAATTAGGAATGCTGACAAGGTATCGTACCAAGCTCGCGGAGCTTTTTTCAACCCATACAACGCCTTCTTGAGTTTATAGACTTGATCACCAGTGCCTTTTACCTCAAATTCGGGTGGTTGCTCGACGTAAACTTCTTCTTCAAGTTAGCCATTTAGGAATGCGCTTTTTACGTCTATTTGGTATACTGTGAAGTTCTTGTAGGCTGCATATGCTAGGAAAATTCTAATTGCTTCGAGTCGTGCGACGGGGGCGAATGTCTCATCAAAATCTATTCCCTCTTCTTGCGAATACCCCTTTGCGACTAATCTTGCTTTATTCCTAACAATGACGCCATCTTCATTTGCTTTGTTCCTAAAGACCCATTTGGTGTCGATTACATTTTGGTGCTTTGGTCTTGGAACAAGTTCCCATACATCGTTGTGCTTGAATTGATCCAATTCTTCTTGCATTGCATCTATCCAACTTGGATCGGCTAGTGCTTCATCAATTTCTTTTGGTTCCAATTGTGATAGAAAACATGAGAACATTGCATCCCTTGTTGATACATCCTGTTGGTCCATTGTAGATGATCGTGTTCTAACTCCGTCTCTCGGATTTCCAATGACTAAGTCATGTGGGTGACTTCTTAGCCACTTTCGATTTGGTTGAAAATTCATTGGATTCTCAGAGTTTCCTTCTTGTTGAAATATCATTTGTTGGATTTTCTCTTGTTGCGAATTGTTGACGGGTATTTCTTCGGGTTCATCTACTGGGATTTCTTCTATTGGAATTTCGGGTGCAATCACGGTTGGTACTTCACTTGTCACATTGGGTATTGACTCAAATTGACGAGTACCCATGTCAATTGTTTCTCCTAAATCCTGCAACACATTTTCCTCAAAGATATTGTTAGAATTATTTAAATTAGAGGTACCTCCTTTATCTTTGACTTCTTTGCCGTTGCTTTCGTCGAACACAACATGAATTGATTCTTCTACTACCGACGTTGATTTGTTGAAAATTCTGTACACCTTGATAGTAGATGAATATCCTAAGAATATTCCTTCGTTTGCACGTTCGTAAAAAGTCTTTAAATACGACATTCCATTAACAAATACAAAACATTTACACTCAAATGTATGAAAATAAGTGAGGTTGGGTTTCCTTCCTTTCCATAATTCATATGGTGTTTTGTTATATGACTTGTGGATTAGACTGCGATTTTGAGTATAGCACGCCGTATTGATAGCTTCTGCCCAAAATCTCTTTGGTAGATCGGCGACTGATATCATGAGACGTCCAGCTTCTTTGAGTGTCTTGTTTCTTCTTTTAGCTACTCTATTTTGTTGCGGCGTTCGTGCGGCAGATAGTTGGTGTAGAATCCCTTGTGAATTGCAAAAGGATTGAATCACGCTATTCACAAATTCAGTTCCTCGATCGGTTTGAATTGTTGCAATCTTCATATCTTTTTCGACTTGTAGTTGTTTTAGCAGCTCCGGCAACTTCGTTTCAACTTCGTTCTTTTTCTTTATGAATAACGTCCATGTGTACCTGGAAAAATCATCAACAACAACCAAAGTATATTTCTTACCTCTTATACTTACTGGGTCTACTGGACCAAATAGATCCATGTGCAGTAGACTTAGAGGTCTTGATGTTGACTCTTGAGCTTTGGATTTGAATGATGCTTTGATTTGTTTTCCCTTCTAGCATGCATCGCAAATTTGATCATTTTTGAACGCAATGTTGGGCAATCCATCGACTAACTTATTTCGTGCAAGCTTATTGATGGTTTTGAAATTTAGATGATTTAGCCTTCTGTGCCATTCCCAACTTGCTTCATTTGAATTGCTTGCCATCAAACACACAGAGTCCTTCGTTGTACTACAATCAACAACATACATATTTTTCTTTCTCGATCCGGCTAGTACAACTTCCTTCGTATCGTCTTTGACTTGACATTTATCTTTGAAAAATTCTACGAGATAGCCTTTGTCGCAAAATTGACTTGTGCTAAACAAATTGAACTTTAATCCTTCGACAAATGATACATCTTCAATTCGTAAGCCATTCTTCACAATTGTTCCGGTGCCTTTTGTTTTTCCGTATCGATCGTTTCCTCCAAAAACTACTTTTGGTCCTTCGATACTTTTGAACTCAACTAGACTAGCTTTATTGCCGATCATGTGTCGAGAGCATCCGCTATCGAAATACCAAGTTTCCTGCAATAAAATTAATTATTTTTAGGTACCCATATTTGTTTGGGTCCTTTTGCGTTAGTAATTTTTGGCATCCAAATCCACCTAGATCCCACTAATCCAAGAGTAGGTGATTTGTAACCATTAAAAACTTTATAATCATAACGCACTTGCGAATAATGCTTTGGTGCGAGTTGGGAAGCTAATAGTTGCTTGATTTTATGAAATAGAGCAAATCTGGACTTGGTTCATGATTTGTCTTCATGCGACCAATCTTCTTCTGAGGGATATAATCTCCCAGCCCCAATTCTCGGAATTCTTCCCATATTCCTATGAGGTTTTATTGCACTTGACTCGTTGGCTCTCCTTTGAGATACAAATTATTGCCTTTTAAAATTTTGTTGTCTTGTCGAGATATTATTGTGTTGATTCGGCCTTGCAACATTTTTCTGGGCATTAATTTTGTTTCCAACTCCTTGTCTCATTGTGCTATGCTGACTTTTCACAAATTTTACCACTGGAACTTTATTAATTAAAGTAGTAGTAGAATTAGTCAGCTTTTGAGGGGTTTGAGAACATGATGGATCGTAGCCTAATCCGGCTTTATCTCCAGCGGGTTTTTGCATGTTTACCATTTTATCCATTATTTTGGATGAATTCGTAAATGATGCGATTACTTCTCGAAGGTTATGTTCTCGAACCTCTCTTGCTTTGCACTCTTCTTGAAGCGAACATTTTTGGCTTTCAAATTACTCATTTCATTTAGAACATTTTGCAATTTAAGCTATTTCTTCCTTTTCAAGGATTAACGTATTATTGCGCTCTTTGATTTGAGTATGAGTGGTCATGACCTCTTGACAATCTTTCATAAGACTTAGAAATGATTCTTGAGACTTGAAAGAGGTGTCAACTGAACTAAAGGAACTAGAAGATACCTCTTCTTCATTTTCGTGCGCCATTAGGCATTCTTCGTGCTCGGATGTTTGACTTACTAAACATAGCAATGCCGTGTCTTCTTGTGATGAATCACTCTCATCACTGGATGATTCTTCGGATTCGTTTATCTCTAGCGGATCACTTATCAACGCCTTTTGTTTATCCTTCTTGAATCTCTTTTCCTTCGACTTGTATTCTTCCTGTGAAGGGTTAGAAGTATTCGAATTTTTGCTTACCTTTGGGTGTGGACATGATGGATAATTTTAATAAGTCCTCGCAAGTGCACGAGTCATTGTAGCAGTAGTGTGCAAATGCAAGGGTCGATCCCACATGCAATTGATACAAACACTGCTGGAAATCTCGCGTTTTCCGTCCAACATTTCCGTCCAACCGTAAATTGGTCGGTATTTTACTAAAGATTTCAACTTTCTGTTACTAAAGATGGGTGGACGGAAAGTTGGTCGGAATTTCCGTCCAACACGCAAGTGTTGAACGGAAATTCCGTCCAACACTCACGCGTTGGACGGAAATTCTGACCAACCTATAGTGTTGGTTGGTAAAGTCGAATTGACTGATAGGTAAAAATTAAAATAGTAGGTAGTTTAATATCCGTCCAACATAGTATTGGACGGAAATTTAATATTCATTCCCACAATTGATATCTGAAAAATCATCTCAAAATAAAACCTAATTCATTCCCACCAAATATTTAAGAAATTAAAATATTCCCGCTTCCAACCTTCTCTATTACGCAATAGTCCCAAATACTTAGCAAAATTAGGTCTTCTCTCCAACCAATCGCATCCATCATCGCCGGTCGTCTCTGCCGCCCCCTCCTTCTCCATCGCATCCTCCTTCGCCCCATTCTCCATTGGAGCACACTTAAACAAATTTATCAAGTTGTTCTTTCTTTCCTCCTCTGCGCCAATCTCGATCAACCCACCCCAAATATTTTAAAAAAAAATTAAAAATAATTATTTTTATATCCCAGACCCCAAATCAGATCTAATATGCTAAACCCTCCTTCACCGCATCCACGCACCCTCCGTCGCACACCCCTCCTCACGCAACCACCGCCGCCGACGCCACAGTCGCCACCCCACAACAGCTTCGTCGCTCGGAACAGTGCACCGTCGATCTGCAGCCGCCAACGCCGTCTCCACCGCCTACCCTTCCGATCTGCTTCGTTGTTCCCTCCTTTGGCTCCCCTGCGACGCCACATCTCCCAGCCACCGCCGTCCACGTACTGCAGTTGTAGGTTCGGTTTTTTTTGTTTGTTTTTGTTTTTTTTGTTTTTTTTTTTTGTTTTTTTGTTTTGTTTTGTTTTTTGTGTGTGTGTGTTTCAATGGTTAATAATATATTTTTCTTTTATTATTATTTTGATAAATGTTTTCCAACTTCACTGCTTTCTGGTATGTGTTCTTTCCAGTGAGGGGGGTGGGGTTTGGCGATCATGGCTGATATTACACTTGTAAGTATAGTTACTGACTTGCTGTCAATTCTTTGATGATGCAGGGTCACATGTACATAGCAGGTTGACTCTGGAAATCCCTATGTTTTGGTTTATTCATGGGGAAACATGGTTAGTTGACAAGCATTACCAAGCAAAGGCACTATCCGATATGCTTATTGTTGTTCAGTTAGAATCATCATCATGGGAAAGTCACTTAAGTGGGACTTGAGGTTATATTTTAAATCTATGATGGATATTTGGCATAGATAGTACCAACATTATTTTGAATCTAAAATCAACATTATTTTGAATCTAAAATTAATGGTATAGATAGGAACAAATTATTATGAATCTATGATGCATTTATAATTGGTATAGATAGCAAATTATTTTCTGACAATGCATATTTGGAATGCTATGTACTGTATAAAGTCTTTTTAAGTATCTGCATGTTGTTTTGAAGTAATTAATTTAGAATCATTAATTTATTGTGACCACAGACTGTATCATCCTTCATCCTGAGCACTTATATTTTGCCTCAGATAAAATATGGTTTTCATTTTTGAAAGTACTGTTAATGATAATACTCATTTAGCCTTTTTCTTCCCATGGTCTGCCAGGAGGCCTATAAAGGCTGCTTTAGTTGCTGTTTCTGAACATCTGGCAGGAATACTTCCTCTCCATCTTGTTTACAGTCAAGCCCATGAAACTGCAATTGAGGTTTGCCATCCATGGGATGTTAATTTTTGTTTCCACCTTGATTACCTGATATTTAAAGCTTTTCAGGATTTGTTCATATTTAAGCTCAAATGCCAATCAAGTGCCTTCCTTATGCTTGTAGAAATCTTAAGTTGAGAGGGGTTGGTGGTGCTAATGCCTTCTCGCATTACAACCGAGTGGGTTCTACAACAAGTTTGTACTATGTTAGTGTGACCAATAGCGGCTTCAGAAGGAATAAGCATTTTGGAAGAACTAGCAAGAATAATACTCTGGCTAAGATTTCATGTTCATTTCTACATTCTGATTTGATATGCTTCAATATTTTAATTGGAAAAAAACAATGCATTTTTTGCATAATTGGTTTTGAATGAATTTAAAATAAAGACACTTCAACAAAGGACATGTAGAACAAACAAAATTCATTAATGCAGATGGATGTGTTCCCAGTCATGGGAATATAGGATTACTGATAGCTGAAAGCCTTTTCCTCATTATCCAGGCATGTGACTAATCAGGCAAAGATCATGGTGATCATGAGTGAAGCCTCAAGTGACAGATCTCAAGTCACCTGGTGATCCAAAGTATATGGAAGCAATTGGTGAGTTTAATATGCTCACGTTCAATTTTATTTCAATTTATGAAGTATGAAAGTATTTGAACTTCAATTTGTTTTCTTGCTTTCTTCATTTTAAAATACTAATGTGCAAGGTAGGCAACGGTGGTATTGATTAGTTGTGGGAATAGGTAGTTAGGTGGTAATGGTGATGCTTATGTTAAGGTAAGGTTCTGATTTGTCTTTTACTTTTGTCATTAGGATGGGATACTTAGAGAGGTTCTGTAATCTTTTCTTGTAGTTTATAAAATCCTTGAAAGATAATTTGAATGCTGAGGTGGTACTGGGCACGGTGACAAATATTAAGGAGGCTTGTGCTTGGCTTGGGTATACATATCTTTTCATCAGGATGAAAATGAATCCTTTGGCATATGGTATTGGATGGGAAGAGATAGTGTCTATTTCTTTGTTTTTGTTCATCTTAGCATTTATGTATTGGCTTCTCATATCCCTCACCAATATAAATGATGATTCTGTGTTTGACAGGTCATTGCTGATACACAAGAAATCAAAATGCGTATTTCCTACTGCAGGAAAAGCACACCAACCTTAGACCATAGAATGAAATAAAGTTCATCAAGGTACCTACTCATTTAGTGTTAGATTACTTATATCACGATCCATTTTTGGTGAAGGTTTACACTTGATCAACTTCATTGAAGGAGGTTGTGGATGCTGCATTGATCAAAGCCATTGAAGCAGTGCCGGATTTGAAGGCTTATTTGGGTGCAGCGAGCATACTTATGTAGTATCAAATAAGTATATTTTCATACTTAAGTAGTACGGAGTATCAATCAAGTAGTATATATTTTTTATGTTTTTTTTAATGAACATGAACATAATTTTTGTTGTAAATAATTTTGATGTTTAAATATATTTTCAATTTTCAATTTTCAATTTAGTGTGTTCATTAATTTGTTGATGACATAATTTATTAACAACAGTTATAAATAAAATTATGGTAATATAAAAATAATAAAAATATTCCATATGATTTAGGATTTTCCTACCAACAGTTGGAAGGAAAATAACAAAATATAATATGTGAGTTTTTCGTCCAACGTTGGGTCGGAATTTCCGACCAACGCACGTAGTTGGACGGAATTTCCGATCAACGCACAAAGTTGATCGGAAGTTCCCACGTTTTAAAAATGGTGGGTTACTTTCCGGAATTTCCGTCCAATTTTTGTTCTTTGGACGCTATTTCCGACCAAAAATTGTTGTTGGACGGAATTTCCCACGGAGGTTTTTCCGAACGTTCCTTTTGGTCGGTATGTTGGACGGAAACGTCGTTTCCGACCAATATATCGCGTTTTCCGTCCAATATTTGTTGGACGGAAAATGCGAAATTTCCAGCCGTGAAAGCAATTTAATAATTTGAAATTAAAATGAAAAACTTGACAAATTAACGGTTCAAAGCTAATTAAGAGTCAAAATGTACTTAACCGAATGAGATTGCAAGTAGAAAATATAGGTATGAAAGATAATAACAACGAAATGAAATAGCAACAATGGAATGTCAAATTAAAATAACGATCTTGACAATTTAAAGCGCTCAACGACAAGGATCAATAATTAAGATCAATATAAATACAAAGTAATTGAATCAAAACAAAGAAAAGTAAACGGGAAATTACCAACAACCAGACTATTGAATTAACAATAAAATTGGACAAAGCCTAGGAACATGAAATTAAAAGGTGTAGTGTTTACTCAATATTTCTCTCAAACAGACTAATAAGAACTAAATTGGCCAAATTCCAACTTAATTAATCTCAATTCAAAACCTTAAGATAAAACTTAATTAATTGACAAATTAAACATAAATCAATCTGCAAAACTCATGGTAATTTAGTCATATTCCTTAACAATGATTTAGCAAATCATAAAGGACTTAGGTACAAGTAGCTCACTCAGCATCATCTTACAAATGATAATTATGAGATAATTAGACAAAAGTAAAATAATGAAGAGAAGGGAAAAAGGAGTTGCCGTAATTAATTGCTGCTGTAGAAATTAACACCAAGCTGGCAAGCTCATAAATTAATTGCCGAACTGATTGAAGAGAGCCGCCGAAATTCCTGTACCGCGCCGGAGATCGCTGTACCAGCACAGACTGCACCGCCGAATCACGCCACGGGAATTGGTTTGGGACGAAAGTTGGTCATTCTTTTTCTTCACAAAAGCCTTTCATTTATACTGCTTCCTTAACTGAACTTCACCGTAATTTTTGTTCTGAATCTCTGGCCATAGCCGATGAGGACCTCTTCTCTCGCAGTGTTGTTGACGGCTTCGGTTGAATCACCGCACAAAGAGCTTCGACCCAGACTCAAAAGTAATTATTCTTTAACTTAAATAAATTAGAAATCAATTATAATTAGTCTATGTTTATTAAAACTCCTATTATACTACTAAGACTATTATTATTATTACTAGTTTTTTACACGCATTGCGCGATTGGGATAATGCCCAATGTCTTTTTTTAAATAAGTACTTTAAACTATATAAAGGCAAGATTATATTGGAATTCTTCATGCATAGATAATTGAATGTTAAATTTGCGTATTTAAATAGACAATTCTAAGTTTACAAATGCAAGATAATATAGTCAAGATTGATTATAATTGTCAATAAAATAATTGTATAGGTATGGTTGAAACTAAATACGGGACATAAGGGAGAGCAAATAAAAATTAGGGCATAAAATATTAAATATATATTAATACTGAAGAGCTAACTGCTGATTGTCAAACAATGACATTGCGAGATAGTTTTCCACTTCAATTTGTTGTGTGATTTGAATACTCTTTTTGTCAATAAATCCCCCAAGTAGTTAATATGATTGACTTAATTTTATTTTTTATTTTTTAAAACAATTATTATTACTATTATTATTATTATTATTATTATTATTATTATTATTATTATTATTATTATTATTATTATTATTATTATTAAATATATGTATACGTATACCCTTAGGTCATTTTACATGTTAATATAAACAACTAATTTTTTAAAATATCTTTTTACCAACCTTTGATATAATTCGCTAACGCTAACCGCTAACTGCTGATTGTCAAACAAGGACATTGCGAGGTAGTTGTCACTTCAATTTGTTGTGTGATTTGAATACTCTCTTTGTCAACAAATCACGCAAGTAGTTAATATGATTGGCTTTATTAATTATATTTTTTTAATTTTTTCATGGTATTAATAAAATACTTGTAAATAAATATATAGCATTATTTTGTATTATAACTTTGATATTTAATTAAAAAATAGTGCAAAAAAAGATAATAGACAATGTAGTGATTATAATCAATTGATGAATTTGAATGTAAAGAATTTATAAATTGGAGAAATATAAAGACAATATAACTAATAAAATTATTTCTCTTAATTCATTTATTAATAATAAATAATTTTTTTAATAAAGACATTGTAGGGACAATGTAGCGAATATAATCAATTGATGAATTTGAATGTACAGAATTTTTATATTAGAGAAAAATAAATACAATATAACTAATGAAATTATTTCTCTTATTTAATTTATTGATAATGAATAATTTTTTTTTTTGAATAAAGACATTCTAGACACATAATTCTAAATTAAAGAAATGCATGTGTACTATTTTTTGTTGTAGCCACTAAATTATTATTTAATTTAATAAGAGTAAAATAGAGTACTAATTATGCCAACTTTGATTGGGATGTGATTTGAATACTCTTTTTGTCAATAAATCTCCCAAATAGTTAATATGATTGGCTTAATTTTATTTTTTATTTTTTAAAACAATTATTATTATTATTATTATTATTATTATTATTATTATTATTATTATTATTATTATTATTATTATTATTATTATTATTATTATTATTAAATATATGTATACGTATACCCTTAGGTCATTTTACATGTTAATCTAAACAACTAATTTTTTAAAATATCTTTTTACCAACCTTTGATATAATTCGCTAACGCTAACCGCTAACTGCTGATTGTCAAACAAGGACATTGCGAGGTAGTTCTCACTTCAATTTGTTGTGTGATTTGAATACTCTCGTTGTCAACAAATCACACAAGTAGTTAATATGATTGACTTTATTAATTATATTTTTTTTAATTTTTTCATGGTATTAATAAAATACTTGTAAATAAATATATAGTATTATTTTGTATTATAACTTTGATATTTAATTAAAAAATAGTGCAAAAAAGATAATAGACAATGTAGTGATTATAATCAATTGATGAATTTGAATGTAAAGAATTTATAAATTGGAGAAATATAAAGACAATATAACTAATAAAATTATTTCTCTTAATTCATTTATTAATAATAAATAATTTTTTTAATAAAGACATTGCAGGGACAATGTAGCGAATATAATCAATTGATGAATTTGAATGTACAAAATTTTTATATTGGAGAAAAATAAATACAATATAACTAATGAAATTATTTCTCTTATTTAATTTATTGATAATGAATAATTTT